ACCTTACTAACTTGAATCTGTCGAGCCTACATGTGTTTCTTAAGTCATCAAAGATCCTAACTGGAACCAAGCAATGTGTGATGAGCTCAATACTTTTGTTTGTAATGGGACACGGGATATGGTCCCTCCCTCACCGGGTCACAATGTGGTTTGTTGCAACTAGGTTTCAGATTTAAGGACATGTTGATGGCACCATAGAATGCTACAAAGACCATCTCGTAGTCAAGAATTTTCAAGAATGCCCCATTGTAGACAGTGGACCCAACACAAAAGTTCAGCATGGGCGGACCGAATGTTGATCGTTGACCATTGACCGTCGACAATCAGCGATCGTAAGAGCGATGTCGTTTATCAATATTTAATTAAATAATATTAAAAATTATTCAATATATATGTAAATACTCTAAAACGTAAAATTTAATATATATATATGAAAATATAATTTAATACAACCCAAAAATCATCTTGTAAGTATGTCATTCTAACATCATCTCTGATATTACGATTACGTAACTCGATGAGGGGACGTTTCATTGGATCAGAAACAAGATCATCCACATTAAATTGAGCCCGAGACTTTTATGTGTTATTTAACAATTCACGTGCTCAACTAGAAGTAGTGGCGGGACTAGATGCACATCTAAAAGTAGAAGAACTAAGTATAGACTTTCGTTTCGGTTGAAAAAATCGTTCCATAATGTGCAAAAATTGTTTCAATTAAAGTGGTATCAATCTAATAAGTAATAAGTAGTTAAAACTTAAAATCACTCCAACCTTTTAAAAAAAATAATTGATATAACTTTCTCGACATCCTCTCTCCTAATGTGGGGGTGGGAGTGATAATGAAATGATTTATTTGCTTCCAAAATGTTATAGTTGTTTGTTCTCTTTTCTTCAAAAAAAAAAACTTGTTATTATGAAATATACTTGTTTTAGTTTGCTTAGTTACTTGAAACATAATTCTAGATCACTATCCCATTGTATTAAAAATTGAAAGGCACCTAGAACCACTCCAATTTTTTAGGATAGTACGTGTATGAATTTTATGCTCCGTGTTAAACTCTCACAATTCTCGGTCGACACTTGCTAGGTCAAATTATTTTCCAACTCAGTGCACTGCAATCGGTAAAAACCGCCCCAGCTTGCTCATTTTTTCTTCAAGTGTTTCCAAAATTAAATTTTTCCACAATTTTCTAAGCCTATATTGTCAAAATGTTAAGTTCTTCCTTTATTTATTATATCAAACTCTAACACCATCTTAACTTGTTTATTTGAAGGTTTATGATAAGGCCCAAACTTTTTAAATACCCAACTAAGGTTAATGATATGGCCCAAACTTCTTAAATACCCAACTCTCTCAACCTAGAACAAAAAGGCCAAACTAAAAAAAAGGGCCCAAAATATGGTAGTCTTCTTCCCCCCTTCTTCAGTTCTTCCCCGTCTTCTCTCTCTGCAACTGCAGTCGGTAGTATTGAAGACTCAGACGAATCCAGCATGGGAGGTAGCGACCCCTCACCGGGTGCTGGGTCCGTCCCTGATTGTAGACAATTATGAAACTTTTGATCCTGTCATCAAGCCAACATCAATTCACCTTGTTCATTGCTAAGCTCTTTTTCAGGGTTGGCTAGTTTGTCAACTTGACGTAAACAATGCCTTTCATCGAGGCTCACATTCTTAAAGAGGCATTCATGACTCAACCCTCTAGTTTTGTTGATTCTACTAATTCATCTCATGTTTAGGCTAGAAATCATGAGTTATGATCATATAACATTTAGTACATCATACATTATTTATCTTGGGAATGCTACTTCTTGGTGTTAAGTCTACAGACTTGGCAAGTTTCGTGTCCAAATATCATTTAATCGAGCTGTAATTGAGATTGAGTTGTCGGGTGTTGGTAGTGGCTTTGGAAGGGCTTAATGTCTACTCAAGAAGGCCCTCGAGCACAAGAACCAAGGGCACTCGATATACGTCAAGTCAATGCTTGAGCTGCGTTTCTAGAGAGTGATAGTTCGCTATCGACAAGGGGCGCTCGAGCAGCATATTTACCTGGAAAACCAGAATTCACATCTTTTAACCTTTAAACAATCCTAAAAAACCTCAAACTCTCAAATACTATATATACACAACGAAAATCCGACTATCTTGTGTGCTGAAAAATTTTACATTGAAAATAAGATCCTATTGAAAGCAAACAATTCATTCCCATTCTTTTGCCTCAACCAAAAGATCAAAACACCACAAAATCCATCCATCAAATATCTTTCAGAGTTCTGATGATTATGAGAGGAGATTGGAGTTCTGGTTAGTGAAGAATGGGTTCGTTCTTGCTGATCTACAAAGAAAACAGAAGTCTAGAGGTTTTGAAGCTGGTGTGCACAATTGAAGAGTTCTTCGGTGATTACAAGTTAGCAATCAGAGTCTACTAAGATTTAGTTGTGTCTGGACCATATATGTAAGTTCAAGCTTTTCCAGTGAATCATCTACCAGCATGAGTTGCTCGAAGGTTTTTTTCTCTTGAAAAGTTATTCGGGGATTTTCCTCCGTAAACAATTCTTGGTTTTATTTATTTTTATGCTTTTACTTTTGTCCTTGAATGATTGCCATGCTTTAAATTGATTTAGATTCATCGGGATTTAATAATTTGTAGCGTGTTGCAAATTGTTGGTAATAAAATTTAAATTTCGTATATTACACCTATTCACCCTCCATCTAGGCGTTTATTGGGTTAACTATGTTTATTATAAATGATATTAGAGCCTCATTTCGATTTTTGACCAATGATAGTCTAGATGAGTCGGTCATTATCCGTTCCTCCATACTTCGATGGAAGACCCCACCTGTTGCTATTAATGGCGTTGTTATACCTACAGAAGTTTTCACTTGGACTAAAAATGAATTAACTGATTGTAATTGGAATAGTAAAAGTGTTTATACCATTTTTATGGCTATATCATCTGAAGAATTCAAACATATGTCCATGTGTGAGACTACTAAGGAAACTTGTGAAATTCTTGAAATCACACATGAGAGAACTAAAATTGTCGAAAACTCTTAAGCTGTTTGAATAATTTAGGATGAAGGATGATGGATTGTTTGATGAGTTCTATACAAAACTGAAATGATATAATCAATTCTAGCTTCAACCTAGGTGAACGAATTTCGAAGACCAGAATAGTTAGAAAAGTTCTAAGATCTCTACCTGAAAGGTTTAGACCAAAGGTCACAGCAATTGAGAAATGCAAAGACTTGGATCAGGTTAAGTTAGATGAACTAGTGGGATCACTCCAAATCTATGAACTAACCACACCTCATTTGAAGAAAAATAAGTTTATTGCCCTAAACACTGTCAAGGAAGAAAACTGTTACACAACAGATGATGACACACTAACAGATGAGGACGTAGCCTATTTTGTTAAGAATTTCAAGATATTTTTCAGGAATAATAGATGTCTTAATAAATACAAGAATGATAAAAGAGAGAGAAAATATACTAGGGATGCCGAGAAGAAGTCACAAACGTTAGATGTCGTGAGTGTCAAGGATTTGGTTACATTAGAGTTGAATGCCCAAGTTATAAAAAGACTGTAGGTAAGGCTATGAATGTCATTCTTACTGATGATAAGTCTAACTCCGATAATCAATGTGTGACTTCCAATTCTGAGGAGTGTTTGAACTATATGACTTTTATGCTTTTATGTCCATGCTTGAATGATTGTAATGCTTTAAATATATTTAGATTCATCTGAATTTAATAATTTATGACAAGTTGTAAATTATTGGTAGTAAATTTTAAATTCCTCATATTATACATATTTACCCCTTCTAGGTGTCTATTGAGTTGAACTAGGTTTATTACACGATCTTTTCGTAAACCAAATTACATTGTCCCTTCTTCCAAAGAAGTTCAATATCATGTTATTGCCAAAACTGCTTCTGAACTATGATGGATACAATCACTTCTCACTGATCTTGGCCATTTGCTTCCACGGCCATCCATCGCCGTGATAGTGTGGATGCTTGCAAATCGAGTTTTCCATTCTCACGAAGCATATTTTCATTGATTAGCATTTTTGAAAATGGTTATCTTTTGATTACATACATAAGCATTACTAATTAGTTAGCCGATGCATTCACAAAAGCACTACCTTGTTCTCGTGTTGAATTTCTATATACCAAGATTGGCCGGGGTGTGTTACAGGAGAAAAGATCTCCACATGATTTTTCAAAATCTTTAAATATAATTGTCCAATTGTAAAGAATTGTAAAGTTTCTTATCCCTTAGATTATGGTTAGTTTATTAGTAAAGATAGCTGTGCCATCCCTAAAATTTAAAATAATATTGAAAATAAGAAAACATTTTTTTGAGCCTGGCGAGTGGGCATGAGAAAATTAAAATGTCAGAATATATTTTTTTGATTAATTATTGGTCATGAAGGGTCAACAGAAGTTTCTCTCAGAAATTTCTTTGTTGAAACTGTTGGCATGAGTTGTCTGAATTGAAGGAGCAAATTAAGGGATGTGAATTCCTGCATTATGGGGTCAACAGAATCAATCAGAGCCAAAATTATCTATAAATTATAGCAAGATATGTGTATACCAGTAATGTTTACTGTGTATATATACCATCACCACCGTTGTAATTGACGTGAATACAATGAAATAAAATCTGAATTCTTTCTCCAGAATAACAGAAACGTCAATGCCCTTGCAAAATTATAAGTAGTAGTCGTTTCAAAGTTTGTGAAACACTTAAAAAAAATTTTTTCTTTCATTCTTTCCCTCCTCGAATCACAACCCATTTTTCATAAATTCAAATTTTGAGGTCAAAGTTGTGTTTTTTGACATCCCTTTTGGAAGAAAAGGGCTTACAGATTGAAATAATCTGAATTCTCTTTGCATTTTTTTGATTATTTTTGACATTAAGCTACTTTTTTTTTACCCCAAATTTAGCAGTTTTCTTGGAATAGTTCAGTGAAGTTTGTGCTGACGGGGTTAAAATGGAACCCGGGGATCTTTATAAAGCTAGTAGTAGCTTGAGAGTAGGAAGTAAGCATATGGGAAGTTTAAGAGCAAACAGTTCATCAATATGGAGGAATACTGGAATCGAAGTTTTTTCGCGTTCTTCAGGAGACGAAGATGATTAAGAAGCTCTTAAATGGGCTGCATTTGAAAAACCTCCTACCTTCGATCGTTTAAGAAAAGGGCTTCTGTTTGGATCAAAGGGTGCTGCAAATGAAGTTGACGTTCAAAATCTTGGATTTCAAGATAAAAGGAATTTGTTGGATAGGCTGGTTAATGTTGTGGATGAAGATAATGAGAAGTTCTTGTTAAAACTCAGAAATAGAATTGACAGGTTAGTATTGTGATTGATCCTGGACCCTTGTTGGGGTTTGATTGTGTCGAAGTTCTATAATGCAGATTATTTTTATTGATTTCTGATTATTTTCAGAGTTGGGATTGATCTGCCAACAATTGAAGTCCGGTTCGAGAATTTAAATATTGAAGCAGAAGCTTACGTGGGAAGCAGGGCTTTGCCTACATTTATTAACTTCAATATTAATATGATAGAGGTAAAAAATTTACTCAAACATTAGGCTATGAATCCATATTCGATGTTTCATAGATATCTCTGGTTTATAATTAAGGATGTCTCCATCTAACTTTGTGTTTTTTTTTTGATATCTTAAAGGGCATTTTGAGCTGTGTCCATATAGGAAGTAGCAAAAAGAGAACTCTTCCTATCCTCAAGGATGGGGAAATTATTGAAAATACCC